TGTGTGTGTGGGTGAGCACACACACACACACACAAAACACTTACACTCACTTCACATTCATTCAGTATAACTGAGTCTACTCCTGCTGTGTGTTTTACGATGCAATATGCTGAAAATAAGTAAATTACTTTCGACTTTTTAGAGCCAAACAGCTTTATATCAGGTGCCTGATGCAAGGCGCGCGCCCTCTCACGCACGGGTGCACGCACACGCACAGCATCCGTCACTGTCTTGTTTTAATTAAAGCTCATTAAACGCCACAAGACATTAATATGTCAATAAAATGCATGTCCAGACAGAAGGGGAGGAAACAAGAGAGATATAGTCTGAAATCTGCAGATTAAGATGTTTAATCATCTCTTATTAATAGTGTTTTAATTCTTAGAATAACTTTCCTACAAAAGAGAGTTTTCTCTGTGGCAAAAATATCAATTTCTATTTTTTTTTCTTTGCCACATATGAAGGTAAAGTAGATCACTCACAGTTGGAGCCAAACACAGAGTGAGGAAAACCCCTCTGATGTGAAGACAGGACATGGTGTCTGTTCCTCTGTTCATTCCAACGTGGCGCTTTCCTCACTGAGACCGGTGCACACTCCTGCAGGACGAGATGCTGCTGAGACCCTCACTCTCCCCTAGCTGTAAATACAACACATGTCAAGCATGCAATGATAAAAATGTGGAGATTCCTGTGTGTATTTTCAGAATAAAAACCTCACTCACAAGCTGTCGGTAAGAAATGGCTCTGAGCAGTGTTTTAAACACAGATTTCTAATGCTTTACTGAGAGCTGCCTACAACACCATGAGGAAGATGAAAGTTTAATTTATCATGTGTTGCAGGAATGTGAAGAGATGCGTTTTTCTTTTATTTTGAAGACAAAAGGCAGCTCCCAGTTTGGCCAGCAAGCTTTACAGATGTGGCTGAGCGGGTGTTCGGGATGCTCAGAATTCATCCTTCTGCTCTCCGGAGCCTGAATGTGTCGCCACACACACACACACACACACACACACACACACACACACACACACACACACACACACACACACACACACACACACACACACACACAATTTGTGATATGGAAATATGGATTTACACTTAAGACTCGAATTGAAATACTGAGCATAAGAGTCTCAGATCAGGCTTTGATGGTTTGTTTGCTTTGTTTTTCTTAATATTTCCACTTTTTTTAATCCTTGACTCATTTATTCTTTTCAGATTGCTCATTTTATTAATTTTGTGTAGTTGAGATTTTTTTTTAAAGGTCCAGTGTGTAGGATTTACACTCATTTTTCACTCATTGCTGCCTGCTATCGTCACCACGACACCCCGAGACAGCTGCTTCCCTCCATACACACCATGAAGCACGTGTCACACCCTCACAGGTTACCCACAAGGCCACCAGCCCTTGAAAGGGAAAAAGGGTGAGCCAGTAACAAGAGCCACAAAATTAATAAGAGCCAAATTAGCAGTGTTAAATTGGAAGTAGAGGAACTCTCTATGCACCTGCACTATGCAGGAGCAGTGCTGATCATCCAGATAATTATATATGCATAAATGTATCATTTTTTGGCTTCATGGGCCACTGATCAGCCTTCATAGGGATGAATGGGGCCCTGCCTACAACACTATGTCCCGTTCTCTTCATACATCCATGAACCTCTTCCACTGAGTCCACCATGTTGTTCTACAGTAGCCCAGAACAGACAAACCACACATTGGCCACCGTAGTTCTCCTACATGCAACCTGCAATCTCACCTCTGGATGCAACTGAATCTAGCGCAGTGGACCTTTAAATAAAAGCTTATTCAAAAGCAGATAGGGCAGTTCATTTCTGTGACACAAGGAAATCTATAAAACATCAGTATAAGGTGAAAAATGTTCATCATAGTCCCCATGCTGATGTCTTAAAACACCAGAAGTTATTCAAAAATAGCAAATTGTCACATCTGAGCAACTGGAACGAGAAAAGATGAATTTTAAGTCAGTCAACTAAGTGATAAATCAGCGAATCATTTAAGATCTGAAAACACAACAGGTGTGAGACAAGAACAATGAGTACAATAAAAAAAGAAATTCACTGAGTGTTATCTGACAGGCTGTTTTAACACCTGATTTTGAAAATGTTAGTTACAACACTGTTTTCAAAACTTCATGGGTTGTGGTCTGTACTGATGGAGGGATCTACATCCTGTCTGACATAAATCATGTGGCAGTTGTTGTTAGACAGGAAACAAACTTGTTTGTGTTGGCGTCTTTGTTCACATCAGCTTTCTGAATGAGCGAGGCAGCACGCAGAGTTAATGTGTTGATCTTGTTGTTCTGTCGTTCGAAGCTGTCAAACATTAAAACCAGACACAGATTATTGGAAGTTGGAGGCATCATCACTCTCACGTTTTATTCATGATTACTGGCTGTTTGACAGGTCCATTACAAGTTACACTGAGTGCTTGTAGTGATGATTCATGCACATTCTACTCCTCCAAAATTATCCTTCAAAAAAAAAAACAAGCAAGTAGAAAAATCTGTCCCTGCATGAATACAAAGATATTGTAAACTTAACAGATTTATTATTGTTTGTAACAATTTATAAAATAATTATCACAAAGCAGCTCTGTGGAGAAAATATGAGCCTTTGCATAGAAATTGCACCAATTTACACCCATCAAAAATATGAGATCTGACTGTGAGGCACACAAACAGATCTCTATAAAAGCAGCACAGAGAATAAGCCCTTGTTTCATTAAGTAGTGTCTGGTTGTGTCCAAAGTGAGCAAGCCCGTTTTTTTCCTTATTGCTTTGCTATATATAGAAAGAACAGCACAGAATTCAACTCCCATGTGATCACTGAGAGCACAGTGCTAAAAGTTAACTAAACATATAACAAAAAGTTTCCAGAGATTCAAATGAAACCCAAACTGAAAAATCATTTCAACTGCTATAACTGAAACATGTGATATTGTGCATAATGTGATTTAAATGCCACTGGAATTCAGTTTTACAGAAAAGTAACAACTCAAACCAAGTGTCATGATCTGTGCGGATAACAAGGAGTAAAATATACAGATACAAAAGCAAACTAATCCCTGGCAATCAGAGTTTATAGGCACTTGAAGCACAGTAGCTCAGTCGTTAATATACTTTGAGTAAATGTCAATGTGATGACACAAGTCAGCCTGTGTACGTACAGGCCCTCTGCCTCATTAGATTCTATGACCTGAACAAAGAAAGCTGGTTTGTATCGTAGTTTCCTTCCACAGAAAGTAAGACGGCAGTTTTACTTTGCTCTTATTTTTTAAGTTTTCCAAAAACATAAAAATTAGGACATTCTACCACTGGAGGACAATTTTAAGTCCCACTCCTGAGATTTGCACAAAGTTCATTTGCTTTGTCATCAAACAGAAACCAGTTACAAGTTCCTGCCTGTTTTCCTTCCTGTGCTGGCAAAGTGCAAACATAGTGCACAGACAAGTCAGTTCATTAACAAGCTGGGAGCGAATTCAAATCTGCACTTTTCTGCTTCAAAGGTTTGAAAGCTCTGATTTAAAAGATTGCACGACTGACCGCGATTTAGTAAATCATAAAACTCTTAAAAGACAAATTTTGCAAATAAATACTTGTCCCTAACGTAACAGCATACTTTGGAAAAGGGAGCTCAAAGCTAAACTAAGACTGAAAATCTTTTAAAAAGGAATAACAAAATCACACAATATCTAAACTGAGCTTTCTAAATTAAACCTAACTGAAGTAAAGTACGTGTATTACTTGGTGTATATTTAAAAAATACAATAAAACTTAAATAAATGTGTTTCTTTCTAAAAACCTTTTTCATTCTGTTGACAACACTTCATTTAGGCCACAGTGAAACCATGAGCACACCTCGAGACTTTAAATAACACCAAAAAACAAATAGAAACAAAGAATACTTGGGTAAAAACAGATTTCTGGGAAGAAAAGATCAAAATAAAAAAAGTCACATCAAGTGAATGAGTGAGTCAGTGAATTTGCCATATCTTCAGTCTCCCTTCAGCTGCCACGAGGACATCATGCTGATGTCTTTGTGACATCATGCTGATGCCTCTGTGGGAGTCATCCGGCTTCAGGGAAAATCGCTTCCATCGTAGATTATGGGCCTCTCCATGGTCAGATGGTAGAAGACTTTCTTGGAGATAAACCTGTTGGGAGAGGGTTTCTGATCAAAGGGCAGCAATCCGATTAACTGAAACCAGACGCTGAGGCACAATAGAGTGCTGGATAAAAGGCTAAATGTGCACACATATACACACATACACACACACACACACACACACACACACACACACACACACACACACACACGCCCAGCGCAGCGTTTATTTTGGGTTTCATGCAGCATTAATTTTGTGATACGTGATGTAACAATGTCGTAGCTTTATTAGCATGCATATCTCACAAAGCAAATGCACACAACTTTCTGCTGCTGGCTGTGGTGGTTCTTCCTATTATGCTTCGCTCCTGTTTACACAATTTTGAGTTACTTTATGAGAGAAGACAAGCAAGACAATTGACTTATTTCATGCGCAGTTTTGCTTTGCTAAGATGCTAAGGTAATTAATGTCGGTCCTTTGTAGCTGTTCGTGAAGCTCAGAGACTTGATACACAAAGATCAGTTTGCTGCTGGCGGCCATGTTTTCCTGAGCAGGTTTATTTAGATTGGAAGTAGGGAATTACACCTCAGAATTACTGACCCAATTCATCTCGTTCTTCTATGGATGTCAGTTTTTGAGCCACAACAGAGGCCAAAATGTGACCCGCAACAAATGCTAGGGCTTGTTTTTTTTTTACTTGAGGATAGCCAAATACACACAGGCACACACACAACCAAACACATGGTCCCCTTCTATGCTTATGCCTGAAGGAGAGAATAAGAATGAAAATGTTTCTGTAGTGAACAAGCTTTCCCACTGAGAGGAAGAGTCAGAGGAAAGACGCTGGATGTCAGGAGTTCCATACCGTGAGAAGGAGTTGTCAAAGACGAGTGTGTAGAGGCCGGGGTTTCGGACTTTCAGCTGTCCCTGAATTGTCTCTTTGTGGGAACTGCAGCGAGTCAGAGGAATCAGTACCTGAGAGAAGAACAGAAACATTGGTCTGGAGTGAAACTGAATGTGCAGGTGGAAGACTCTGCCAGAGATAGTCTAAGATGCTGTGTCCACTACAACTGTTTTTTTTTCCCAGCTTAAAACATTAGGCGCTCCTCAGGCCATGTCCAGCTGGGAGCGCGTGAGAATGCTTTGGAGGCGCAGGGATTTTTCAGCTGAGACACTTTGGTTGTGTCTAATTGCTATATGGAATATCAACAGAAGTAAAATGTTGGTGCAAGGTAAAGTACTTGCTCTGCATAAGGACAAACCTGCGGGGCTGGCTCATGAGAGAAAACATATATTCAATATCTATATTTATAGTGCATTACCAGATTTCTCCTCTACTGTTGTTGTTTTTTAGCACCCTCCTCCACTGTGTGATTGGACAGCTGGGTAAAAATGACACTGACAAGCGCACCGTTTCACTCAACGCTTCATCTGACTGTTGCCATTTGTAGCATATTGCAA